AAGGGTGCGACGCCTCAGTCTTGGGGATCCCTGCACATTTTTTTTGGCAGTTCCGTTCAGCTTGGTTTCATGCAAAATCCTTTGCAAAAATGATTTGCACGCTTGACGTGGAAGTGATTTCTTCTTTGAGTGGTGAATTGCCATCTGCGACGAAGCACGCAGCAGTTGGCAGATTGTTGCACGACCATGCATTCTGTTGGAAAAGCACGACATTCATGCAGACGGAATTTGCGTAAAAACTTCCCTGTAGAAATGTCGCGTGGGCCGTCAGGTGCCAACAGCGAACCACAGGAAATCTCAAAACGGCCGATCGCGACCGAACGTCGCCCATGCCTCCCAAGCAGCAAGCCCACCCATGCCTCTCAAGCAGCAAGCCCACCCCTGCCTCCCAAGCGGCAAGCCCGCCGCCTGGCGGGGGGCGCTCGGCGGGCTCGCCGCTCCCCTACGTCCTTGGGGGCGACGGGGTCAGTCTCCGCTGCACAGCGCTTCCCGTCCAGCGACCTGTTTCCAGTTTACTTGAAACAAAGGGAAAAGCAGGCAGCTTCGAGTGTCTCCGAGTGTCCTCGAAAAATTAAATCGCGTCTATGTTTGCCAGGTGGCCTATGAAACACCACGCACCCCGATTTTGCATCGAGAAGGATTAAAACGAAGTTGCGCGCCTGTAAACTTTTTACAGGTAACCACGTTTTGGTTACCTGTCCCCGCGGTTCTGGGCATGCCCCATGAAGTTCGTCCTGTGTGAAACGGCTAGGGCCTAGCCGTTCAGACCGGTGCGTTCGTTCCGTTGTCGCTCTCAGGCTCTTCCGTATTAGTGACGTCAGAGGCTTAGACTGATGACGTCACCGACCCTAGTAGCACCAGGAACCGGATGCCAGTGTGCGGAGGGGCAGCCTCGTGAATGGCAGGAAGGCGTTCTGTGCTTTTTATCTATTTATTTATTGTATTTTTTTCTTTTTTATTTATTTATTTATTTTTAAAGTTATACTAATGGTGCAACGTTTACAGGGGTTGCGGCAAGTTTCTTTGCCCTGGCTTTTTGCCCTTGCATCCCGGAGCACGCAGGCAGAAGGCTTAAGACTGCTGAATATCGTATTGCTTGGTTATCTTAAGTCAGCAAATAAACGTGAATTGCTGGACTTTTACTTTTGGGGAGCCCTTCGAGATTCTCTCTTGGAAAGTGACTCCCTTAATTATCGGGGGACCCGCCCTAATCAGACCTGGGGCTCCCAGAGACTCCCTAAAGCAAGAAACCTAGCGTTCATTTTTTAAAAACATGTTGAACAGGTTTAGCATGTCGTTTGATGGGGGTGGATTAGGCCTTTTGCGATGCTTTCTGTCATCGGTCGACTGGGTCGGGTTTTGCAGTTGGGTTGCCGTGCGACAGGTTCTGTCTGTATGCCGAGGCCGTGTCGTGAGCCTGTTAGACGATCACACGTTAGGCCTAACCCTGGTTGGCTGGGCGGTAAAGATGAGCTGAGGTCGAGGCCGATAGCTCGGGAGTGCGCTTGCTACAAGGAAAGCCTGTGTGCCGGTTTATGGATTTGTGGAATGCATGTCCAATTAATGTAGCGGTTGTTCTTGAGTCTAATAGAGGCTCTGGGTTTCTTGACATTGAGATTTGCTACTCGAGTAAACTGTCACTGGTTGGCCGATGCTGCTGCGTTCTGATTTTACCAATGCTCTTGGGTGACTTGCAGCCGCTATTGTTCCAATGCTTTTGGGTGACTTGCAGCCTCTAGGTCGATATTCATGAGCAAGTTCAGACAGGGTCGCAGCATGGCCGGGAACACGAAGTACAACCTCAAGTGGAACTCCCACCACGCGGAGACGTTCAGCAGCTTCGACGTCCTGCGCAGCAGGGAGCTGCTGGTGGACGTCACCCTGTCGTGCGACGGGCAGGCCCTCAAGGCGCACAAGTTGATCCTGTGCGCCGGGTCGGGCTACTTCGAGCGGGTGCTCCAGCACGACCGCTGCCAGAACCCGGTGTTCTACTTCTTTGGGGTGGATGCCCATCTGTTGAAGTTCCTGATCGACTTCATGTACCTGGGGGAGGTGGATGTCCCCTCGGCGGACCTGGAGAGGTTCATCCAGTTGGCCGAGGCCCTGGAGATGAAGGAGCTGAAGTGCAACGACTCCAAGTCGACCCGCAATTCCTCCAGGGCGTCCGTCTCGAACCCCAAGGAGGCCCCGGCGCGCAAGCGCAAGTCCTGCGGTGAAGATCTCCCGAGCAGATCCAAGTCGTCTCGTCGTGCCGGCGCCGCTTCGAGGACGGCGTCGCAGGTGGGTCTCGGTCCTCGTCGGTTCCGGTGCGTCGGATCGAACGAGATTGAAGGGAATTTTTTCTTCTGCTGTTTCTTTACTGTTGGCATTCTCCCAATGGTCAGATGTTTTATGCTCTCCCCTATGCTGAATATTTTACTTGTGATGTTCGATTTAAGTTGCATTTACCGCCTTCAGTCTTGCTCTCACGTCATCTACGTGGAATTGGCTATTTCCATCATTCCAGCTGAAGACTATGAAGCTCTTGGTAGGCTAGTAAGTGAGGAAATGCATATAAAAAGTGATGTGCAATGCATTGGAGTCTGTTCAAAACTTATTTGGTGAACCTCACAAATCTGCTCGACATTGAACGGCAGACAAGTATTGACTGTTTCATTAATCTTGTTCAAGATATAGATTGGTCACAGCCTGAGAGTTTGTATCACAATTACCATGCATTTTTAGGTGATGCAATTTTCTTGTTTCCCATGCATAGGTCCCCGCCGAGTGCCAGTCCTCGCCCATCCCATCCGTGTCTGCTGTCCTCTTTCTTCCGTCTAGTCCGAGTGCCAGTGAAGAGAAGGAAGAATTGGCTGTGAAAGAGGATATGGGAGAGGATTCCAGTGAAAATGGAGGACCTGAACACTTGGTCAGCAGTTCATTTGTGATTCCAATCCTTTATTTTTCTGGGAACAAAATGTTAAATTGTTTATCTTTTTGCCTCATTTTTATAGACCTTTTGAATTTTCTTCTATTTATCCATCATTATAATCTCTTTTCCCTTCATAGTTATTTTGTTGTTTTTTTTTTTTCCCCTGTTTTTATATTTCACATTTCCGTATGAAACTAAGCAAATGACGTGAACCCAATGTGTCTGCTGTGAGAAGGGAGTGCAAGAGGAATGGGAGGAGGAGTTGCAGGGCTCCATCGACCTGGAGGGCGAGGGGGCCACCGAGGACAACCCGTTCATGCCTCAGAACATCCCGCCCGAGATACTCGATCCTTCGGTGAGGCGACAGGATCTTTTCTCCCGGATCCATGCAGTGGCTTTATCAGCAGGGAATTGTGCAATCTTTATCTTTATCTGCAATCATAATTAAGGGATGTGGAAGGGTCCTAGTGAGTCACTAGGAAGAGATTGGAGAAGTAGAAAATATGCCTCTCAGAATGATTTACAATGGTTTTAGGACCAGTGTCTGTAAAATAGCTGCTTAATGATTATAATTTTGCATGTAAATGATGAGTCTTTGTATATCTCAATCCAAAATAACAGGTGCAAAATTGGGTGTATATTTGTTGACCAAGGTACCTGTTTTACTAATATCACTACCATTGCTTGTAACAATCATAGGCATGAGTTCGAGTTGTATGCACGTGATCGCTGAAATTTGGAAGGCATTTATATTTCACTGCCATGGAGCATATGCATTTCGTGATGTAATTACCTCTGGTCTTACATGCTGCAGTTCATAAAATTCATGCATCATGATACAAATCTCATCGCAGACGGTAAGGCCCGATACCGACTACGTGTGGAGCGGGTACACGAGGAACAGGATGAAGGTGTGGTTCTGCGGCGCCTGCGGGTACGTGAACCCCGAGAAGGCCAAGCTCGCGAGGCACGCCCTCATCCACTCGGGGGAGAGGCCGTACGCCTGCACCGACTGCAGCAAGAGCTTCAGCCGGCGGGACAACCTCATGAAGCACCGGGCGGCGCTGCATTCGAACCCGCAGCAGTGACGGCGTTTTGCGGCGCCCGCGCGGTGTGGGAGTTTAAAATCTCCTGGCCGAACCTGTTTCTCTGGTCTCGCTGGAGGTATTTTCACGAAATGGGCAACGAGGGGACGCGTGTTCCCTGCGGAGTCGGGGGATTTCCTTGCCGTTCGTCGTGCCGAAATGAACCAATCGATTAACCAATTATTTGAAATTATTCGGATTCAATGTGAGACTCCATATCTTGCTTGGCCTTTTGGAGTAATATATATTTTTTCACTGTTCTACTTTTGGATGGATTGCTGGGGAGAGTCATCAGGTTCTGCGAGTTTTCTCATCACTGTAGAAACCGGAACGCCCAAGTTCGGTGCGAAATTCGGATGAAGCGTCCGAAATCATTTGCAGGTTGGGCTGATTTGTTTAATGAATAGGCAAATGAACATTTGATGAAAATATCTCCAGTGACTGCAGAGATGTTGATGGATCTTGCCATTAATTTATTTTTGCATGTGATTTTGTACCCATGCCAATTTCTTTACAGATATGTAAACTCTTTCGCTGGCATTGCTACATACGTACAATAAAACGAGTCACAGAGATTCCATCGTTCCCCAAATCGAAGGGCCGAAAAGAAAACCCGGTCTGTCGGTGAAAACTCCCGCAATTAGCATAATTGCCGGATAAACATCTTTTCAGGAATTCAGTTATTGGATTTGATTCAGTTGCTTCTTAATTCCCATGAAGCCGTTTTTTATTCAGTTGGTTCTTGTTTGTCCTTTAACATTAATCAGATGTGGGACTTCTCCTCATGTAAAGACCTTTACATTGTCATACAAATCCACACTTTGAACCGGATTTCATTTGATGTTTTTAATTTTTGCCATTTTAACTTTACAAAATTGTGGGTTTTTAAAATGAGTCTCAGGAGTTACTTTTGCCTCTCAATGGAAAAAGTTTACTGGCTCCAAAGGCAGTCTATTCCTGGATTATGTTCATCTTTTCTCCAAACTTTGGACCCGATGGGAACCAAGGACACGAAACGGGCATCGAAAGCATGTATTTCGCCACAAGGCGATCCGGAGTCGGACGATCACCGTCCTGCGATGTGCCGATCCGCCCCCCAAGCCTTGCCCCGTGGCAAGGTCGAGGAAATCTCGGTCTTGGGGCGTGCGCTCTTCTGCCGTGCCGCGTTTTTATTTCCGAGCTTCTGGCGTCTTCTTTGGTATTTTTCTAAGTCTCTAACCTTGTGACTCCAGTCTTGCTAAAAATTTGGGGTCTCTAAGCATGTGGTTCCATATCCGAGGGTCAGCCGTAGAATCACTACGCGTGGAAACCGATACGACTTCGTGTTCCTCGAATCCTCATAAATTCACCTTGCCCTAGTTATTGCAAGGTGAGAGAATTGGAGAATTTTGTTCTCTAATTTTCACCTCTCCATATTCCTTCATCAATTTGTTCATAGGCGACTGTAGAGCATAATTCGCAAGAATATTCCAAAGTTCTGATTGATATTCAGGAGATGGTATTGTTTTTTTCCTTTTGCCAAGTGAATTTGCCAGCTGTATAGCTTAATCAATAATAATGTGTAATGATAGTTAAGGGAAGGAAGCGAGGTTGCCTGATGAGTTTGTCTTGATGGTTTTGCTTGTCTCCAAGCCCAGATATCCAGATGGCTCAAATATCCACTGGCAGTACTGAACGACTGAATGAGTTAAAAGTTTTCCTTGACTGCACCATTATAAGGTACCTTGTTTATTATGCTATGCTCTTTTGTGCTAGTTAATATGATCAGGTTGCAAGGGACAGCAGCTGTTTGGTGGTGAACTGCCTCTTAGAAATCACGGTGTGTCAACGTAAACTGGTAGAGGTCTTTGGAAAGTGTAGGGCTTTTTTTCCTTATTGGTGGATCTGTTGTTGCTTCAAAGGCTAAATAGTGGAAGATGCAGTCACTGCAGTGTACTGAGAGAGGTAAAGTAGATACCTGCCTTATACTAATGAATGTGTATGACTCTCAGCCTTAGGTGGTAGTCTGAGTGGATTCAGACAGGTTATCACAATGTCTGGCAGCAGCAAATACAATCTGAAGTGGAACTCCCACCATGTGGAGACATTTGCCAATTTCGACACCCTTCGCAATAGGGAAATGTTGGTGGATATCACCCTATCATGTGATGGCCAGCCTCTCAAGGCGCACAAGTTGGTCCTGTGTGCCGGGTCGGGCTACTTCGAACGGGTGCTCCAACGTGATAGCAGTCAGAACCCTGTGTTTTATTTCTTTGGGGTGGATGCCCACCTGTTGAAGTTCCTGATCGACTTCATGTACCTCGGGGAAGTGGATGTCCCCTCAGTGGATCTGGAGAGGTTCATTCAGTTGGCCGAAGCCCTGGAGGTGAAGGGATTGAAGGGCGACCGTTCCAAGACGGCTCAAAACTCGGTGGCTGCGCACAGTGCGAGCGGGGCGACCATCCCGGTCTCGGACATCCAGGATGCCCTGGCCCACAAGCGTAAGGCCTACAGCGAGGACTTCCACTATTCTCCTGGCAGCGTGAAGATGCCTCGACGGGGTCTCTGCCCCCCTGCTGGCCCCTCGCAGAAGAAGGCTCGAGTGAGACACAACCTCATTTCAGTATGTCTGGACGAGACCTCTTCTGGTCTTGAATCAAAAGTATGATGTCTCTGAGAGCTTTGCTTGTATATGTGGTCATATAGCACCATCAGTTTCACGACCAAGGTCTGAATGATATGACCGTCGTAATCCCAGTTCAATTCTCAACTTGGATGGTGATGTTGAGATTATATCAGTAGCTGCTGGACATTGATTACGTTTTTTAATCATTAATAATGCTAGCTGCATCTCTTCTGTGACTTTTTAGGGTTCTGCCGCGAGCCAATCCGCAGCTGCCTCTGCATCCAATTCTGTGATCTCTACACCGAGTCCGAGTGCCAATCCAGCCGCAGACGAGGCTGTCGTCAAAGACGAAGTCGTGGACGTGGAAGACGACTCCATGCCTGGTGAAAGCTATGGGCAGTCGGTCAGTTGTTCTCAACCACCTGCTTTTTACTTATATTAAGAAAATATAACCATCTTTTTGCTTTCAGATTTTTCTTAAATTAAGGCTGAGCAATATGACTTCTGAAGGAATCGATACCACCAACCATGCATTAATCAATATTGCAGTTATGCTAATCCCTTAGAGCAAGGGTAGTTTTTTTTTTTTTTACCTTTTGACCTTTCTGGCCATGCAAACCACATTAAGACTGAGTTTAAGTGCTTGTGAGTGAATGATTTTTAGAACAATAGGGTTTTTCTTGAAGTTGGCAACGGACATGTGCATTATTTGATGCATGAGAAAAATTAGGAACAACCGTGATTTTCTGCCATGACTCAATGAACCAAACTTTTCAGCTCGTGAGCCATAGGTTCCCGACCCTTGCCTTGGAGTAAAACATGCAACAGAAGAAAATTGCAGGATCCTGATTGGAATCACACATTATCATTGGGTCAGCACACAGGAAAAGGAATAGAACTGCCTCTTGCTTGTGACTAGTTTATGACCTAGAGAGTTTAAAATTGGATTGTCATATTCATTTTCTGAGAAAAAAGTTGGGGGGGGGAAATCACAGGGCAGTGCTGGGAGTGTGATGATTCTCACAGCTGGAGGGAGGGGGGGGGTGGGTGCCAAGTGATGATGCTTGTACTTCCTTCTTGTGCTTTATGAGCCTCATGGGTTGGCATTGACACATTGGTTAAGAAATCTTCTGCAAGTATGGTTTTCTTTGTCAATTCTCTCTAGGTAGATTTTGTATTCCAGGGAAGCAGCATATGAGGGTGAAAGGTCCATGTGTAAATAAGAGGCTGCACCAGTTGTGCAGTGTTTCAGTAGTTAGCCTTGTATTGTAACCAGAATAATGAGTAAGTGGTAATGGGTAGGATGATATATTTTGTGTAAAATAGACACAACAATATTCATACATATCACTGTTAGGGATAAAAGGAATGATATTGCAATAATCTGCGTAGTCATTATTTTGGTTTTTCAGGTACATGTATGCACCCTTTTCTTTCATATGTTTTGATGATACACATGGTGGATTGAGATTATTGTTTTAATTTATTTATATTTATTTTCTTCCTGCATTCATTATATGTATTTATGTGAGACTAAGCAAATGACTTGAACTTGATGTAACTGTTTCAAAAAGGGGGATCAGGAGGAGTGGGACGAGGAGTCGCAGTCTTCGTACTACCCGGAAAGCGAACTGGCGACGGGGAGCAACCAGGAATTGCCGCAGAACATCCCGCCGGAAGTCGATCCTTCGGTGAGTGAAGTCGAAAGCTTTTTTCCTTGCTGACTTGGTGGGGACCGCTAGGACTGAAGACCAGAAAATTTTAAGATAATGTGTTGTGCAGGTGCATTACCCTAAGTGTGACCTTGGATCTTGGTGGCAGAGAGAAGGGAAAATGTTGCTTCTCTGTCGAATGATAGGTCAAATAGAAGATCTGATTTTTCATATTTTCATTGCATAAGTGCACAGGGCTTATTTGGATTGAATTGATTGGTTCACTTTGGAAGGAAGGACTTGAAACTTGGGGCATTTGGTAAAAGGTGATTGATTTGTGATTTTTTTTTTTTTGGTTAAAGACTGTCACATGATGCATTTTCAGTGGCAACCTCAGTAATGCCTGCCATCTCATTCACAAACATTATCTGGCTTTCACAATGGATAGCATTCTGGAAGTGGGTGCAGAATGTTCTGATTTGCTGCATTTGTCCCCATGTTTCCCATGGGAGGAAGGCCAGAACTGAAATCCCATAGCGTAATGGTGACACTTGATCGGGGATTGCCTATGCTTAGGTAAATGGTGGTTGTGATGAGCATTTGGCACTATTGGGCAGCAGTATTTATCCTTGAAGGAAAATCAACTGGAGCTTCCAGGATCCAGGCAGCTTCAGGAGTGACTGGGTTTGTGCCGTTAGGATTAATGCTTGGATTAATACTTTTACTAATAGGACTTGGCAATTTGCACTCAGTTCTCAGTTCAGTTCAGTGTTCTCAGTGTGTTTCTGTGTGATATTTTCCCATAGAGAAAGTGGAAGGGAATATCCTGAGCTTATTTTTTTTAGATGTGCACCGTGCTCGTTGTGTGCAGTCGTATTCAGTGATTTGGAAACGTTCCCAGGGGAAACCTTTGAAGCAGATAAATCATCAAATAATAATTTTTTTTCTTGGATTTCTGCATCCATGCACTTTCATCATATTCGCTCATGCTTGGAAAGGAAATGTTCTTAATTGAGATTGGTCATTGCAGTCGTGGAACCAAATGCTTCCAATGTAATATTGAAAATGCCATTTGGAAGGAGTATGAATTGGTGCATGTGCACTGTGTGTACAATTTTGCATTGATGTGGCATACTCGCACAATGTGCAGAATGTGTTTTCGTGCAAGGGAGTGAGTCCAGTTGGATATGGACGAGATAATCTTTTTGAAGTCTCCATCTGTTCTGTTTTGAATCTGGATATTGCACCTCACTATCAGATTTTATTGTACCAGATACGTTACTGCACGAGTTGGGTCTGGAGTCGATAGAGTGTGAAAGCAAACAATTTGACCTTGGGAAATCCTGTTGCCAGTTTGCCCATGACAACAATAATTATCTGTGTGGCAACTAGAGAGAGAACCCTAAGCTTGTGCTGGCTGGCCAGTCTGAGCATAATGTATGGAGAGTGTCTAGTAATTTTTTCCTAATGGCCTCTGCCAATAAGAAGAGAAATATCTGGGAGGGGATAGAAATGACGTAGTCGCGTGAAACAACACGGTCGTGCAGCTTTAAACACTGTTCCGTACTTTAGCATGGAAATGTTCTGCTTCATGTATGTGATTCGAGTAGGAGTTTCACGCGTGCAGTGAGCTTGAACTGAACTAGGACTGGAACTGCCTCGACCCACTTTCATGCGAATGCAAAACTGGAAATAGATCAGCCTAATTGACACAGTGCATATTGGTTGTGACTGGGTGTACTTGAAATGTATGTGAACTTTTTGTATGACAAAAATTGAGCTTAAACGGTTTGGTGGATTTCTATATGAAATGTGAATGATTTGCCAAGTTGGACTTCAATGGAGAGTGCAAGATTGCTTGAAAGTAGAAAGAGATGTCCATTATGAATGCAGAAGCAGTCTTCACCGTTGAATCTCCCCCTTATCAGTCTCGCATAAGGAAGGAAATTGAAAAAGATATAAAGTCTCACTCTAGAAGCCTTTCATGCTAAATCAGTTTCAGGATTGTGAAATAAGTCACTGCAGTGTTTAAGGGGCTTTGCTCCATGAAAGGCAGGGTCAATCCAGCCGCAGTTGGAGGCAGGTGTGGCTAATCGCGAGTGATATCCTAGTGGTTGGCTTCCAGTGCAAGCAATTGCTGCCCCTTTTGCTCATCTTTGCATGCATTCTGTTGCCTGGTCAGATGTCAGTGCCTCCTGCCTCCTCCCAGTAGGCGTGTGACCAACTGCTGCTATCTCTTGCCCATTATTATCTTTAGGATCTTATTGGGAATTGGGGCCAGCCAGAATTATGAGAAACTTTTGCTGGAGCTACACGGGGCTTCTTGAAAATTTTCTGTCCATAACCAAAAGCAGAGCTTTCCAAGAGAAATAAGTCATCACATGGAGTTTATATACATTTGGAACTTCAATCCACCAGTGGAGCAAAGTATGATGAAAATTTGTCATTTTGATCCTTCTTACAGCTAATTGGAAAGGGAAATTTTTATTTTGAACCACAAAACCTTCACTTGTGGACTTCTTTTTTCTTTTAGCAATTTGTCTAAAGTATCTTTGTTGTACCATCTTTGCGAGGAACTGACTGCTTATACACTGAGGCACAAGATAAGTGGTGTGAGAATGAAGTATTTTAATAAAATTTAAATCTTTTTTGCACTTCAGTGGCATTCTTCCAATATTTAAAGATTCTCTGATTTTTTAAAGTAAAATGACTTGAAGAGCTCCACAAAATGTACTTGCAGGATGAAATGTACTGGTATTGCATGCTGCAAATGCTCATTCTCTAAGTATATCAGGGATATGTATCTTCAACCCATAACACAATCCATATGCATGTGATTGAAGGAGCAGCAGGTTTTATGGCACCCTTGATATCAAGTGATTTTTGACAGAATTCTGAGACACTATCTTTTGGGACATGATGCAATTTGGCGGTATCCCGTGCATGCATGCCTTCTATCAATATGAATGGAAATTCTGTTTCTTACCAGTACTCGTGTAAAACACCGTCACGAAAGTCGGAAGGGCTTTGTCCATCCTAAGATTTCAGATTCTTTTGGTCTTGGAAGTGGGTCCCTTTATAGCTCTTGATCTTGTGCTTTAACCTGTCTCAAAAATGGACCCTGTTTGGAAGCTGGACATGTATTTTCTCTTGTGATCGCTACTTTTGGCTATGGTCTGCTTGATGGTCACTGGCTACATGACTTATGAATATCTTCTTTAACTTGTGGTTGAATCAGGTAGGAACTTATTCAATCTGTGGTGAGGGGCAAACTGAGACTTTCTTCATATAATATAAGCACATCTGCTTGTCTTTGGAAAATGTATGGCTGCCAAGTACAAGACATTCATGCTTTAAATTTTCAAGCCACGGCAGTGTAGTGACTAACAAGATTGTGTGGCAACTTCTGTGGCCTTCTAAATTGTGATTAATTAGAATAATTTGGAAAATTGGAGTTAAACTGTTGAATTTGGCCACAGGTATGCAATATATTTTTCTAACAAATAATTGTTTTTGAGTGCAGAGACTAATTGGAAATTGGACTGGACATACTGATTTGGTACCCATGAAAATGGAAGAAACATATACTTTTTCCTCCATGAAGGCCTGTCATACTCAATTGCCAAGAGTTCTTTTTCTTCTGCAGTCGGCCTGACTTCGAGGCTGATAATATCCACATATTAGTTTACCCTTAAGTGTACTTCAGGAAAGTATAGTTGTATCTGTGCAAGCTTGAATCTGCACAACAGCTTTGCCTGCATGCACAGCTCCTCTCCTTTCACAGACAATCACAGCCCACAGTGAATATGTCTGGAGTGGACACCAGTTGGGTCATCACACGAAGCTGTGGTTCTGTGGTGCATGCTCCTACAAGAATGTGAGAAAGGGCCACATGGAGCGACACGCTCTGCAGCACTCCGGCGAGAAACCGTTCGTGTGCCGCTCTTGTGGAAAGTGTTTTCGACAGCACACGCATCTGGTCGGCCATTCGGTCACCCATCGGGCGATGAACGCTCTGTGATCGTCGCCCAGAAACTAAACCGATCGACAAGACGTATGCGGTGAGCGATCGTCTCGTCTGACACGTACAGATACCCAAGGATGTGATTTTATGGGAGGTTTTGAGTGGTTTGTCTAATGATACAGACAATAAACTATGTATGCTGGATGTTCCCATGCTTGAATCTTTTTGGACTCCACAGAAGATTTTTGCTTCTGGATTATTGTCCATCTTACGTCAATGTCAACTCAAGAGTGGTACACGATGTATTTGCTTGGTGGGCAATTGTGAAATATGTGCAGTGCACCTTTCTCTTGAGAGACACAATGTACTGATATGTTATTGTCGTGTTAGCCTCGTTAATTGATGATGGGAAATTCTCCAGAATTGGATTCCTTGCAGCACCTCTTGACTTAAAATTTCATGATTCGTGCTGCATATCTCATTGCAGACCATAAGAGCAAATTCAGACTCTGTGTGGAGTGGGTACACAAGAGAAATGAGGAAGGTGTGGTTCTGTGGTGCCTGCGGGCACGTGAATCCGAAGAAGGCCAACGTCGCGCGGCACGCCCTCGTTCACTCGGGAGAGAGGCCGTTCACCTGTGCCGAGTGCAGGAGGAGCTTCAGCCGACAGGACAATCTCCTGAAGCATCGGGTGGCGTTGCATTTGAACCCCCTGCATTGATGGGATTCACATGGATTAGAAAGTGAATGTCATCAATGTTTGAAGATATGAAGTTGCAGAATGTGTTCTGATATCATTCTTGCTCGTGTAGATTTTCCATGTGATTCGTAATCCAACTGTGACAACTGCGATAAAAAAGAATCAAATAATTCTGGTGTTGAGGATTTTTAGATTCTATAGTTTTGATCTCGCTGCTTTATTATCTGTACATGGATAATCTTTCTCCCCTCTGTTGTTATTGCAATAAAAAATATGTAAAATAGATTTCCTTGTCTTTTTGCATGATTACACTGCATTTTTTTGCAGCAAAATCAATGCAATTTGTTTGAAGCATAATTGTCTCTCAGTTGAATCTGAGATGTCTCTGGTAGCAAGGAAGTGTTCTCCACCAGAAAGATTAGAGAATTTCATTCATGTAGAAACGTAGTTCACAGTTCTTCTGTTTGCAACATTTTGACTTGATGCTCATTTTTAGAGATTTTCTGATGCAAATTTTCCCTTTCACACTCCATTCATGTGAGAAAACACTGAACATCTTACTGAAGTACTATTCATTTTTTTTCCCTGTAAACAGTCCTGAAATCAGCTAAATAAGAATTTATTGCATACCAAAGAAAGGCAAATGAAAGATTCTCAATTGCATGATAAGGTGGATATATCGGATTTGATGACAGCTGCCATCGCTTGGCACCTGTTGAGAACTTCAAGAATCCTTATTGCATGTCGCCTGACTTATCTGCAACCACTCGCCTGCAACAATCAGATGGCTTGAGAGTATTTCCAAACCATTTTGTTTTTCAATGGCATGAAGCATGGTGTGAGCTAATACCATCCAATGATTTCAGTTTCTTTTTCAAGGGAGGCAAGCATGCCACGCTTTGACTCCCATGCAGTGTTGGAATTGAGAATAAATTGAGAAAAACATAATATTCATGTGACCGTGATTCAAACGACACTCTCACTTTCCAAGCTGATGCGGCTTACCATGTAAAATGTCCTGCAAGAAGCTGCACGATTTGTCATAATTCATCAGTGAAAGGGGATATTTGAGGCCAATCCACTAAGAAGGGATTCGGTCTTGTTGCACTTTGATGCCATGATGTCTTTCATGATTCAAGGCACTCTTTGAGCGGGAAGAAAGTATGCGTCAAGGCCTCCATAATTTTGTTGCCTGCATGCTCAGAGATCTGTCTAGAGACTAACTTTAAAATATATGTATGTCTAGGTGTGAAAGGGAGTGGTGCTTCCAGTATATGTGCTGTGATCCTCATATGCTGCTTTAAAACCATAATGCCACCCAGATCTCGCCTGTGTTGCGCATATTCCTATCATTTCATCTGTTCCTATTATTATTTTTACTCTTAGTGATGCCCAGCTACCCCTTGGATATCTCTCCCTACCTGAAGCTCTGCACTTTCGTTCATTGACTCTTACTTGGGGGGGCTGTGAAAATGGCGGTAAATGTTCTGCACTGTAAGAAACAATATCCAAGAATTTTGTATGAACATGTTAGGATATCCAAGTATTTAAGTCATGTTGGAAGCATGGCAGCATATGAAAATATCTAATTTTCCAGGCACGTTTGCAAATAGATTTTTCATAAGCCACTTTGTGTGCAAGGCTCAAGGTGCCCTGCTGTTCCCAATTCCCTTGAAAATGGAAAATCCCATATTCGTAGCATCAAAGAAGAACCCTTGACATAAGAAACGGTGAAGTTTTAATTTTGAATGTACTTCACTGTGATGGCTTTCATGAGTATTCCAGGCCAAGGTATATGTCTAACGCCTGAAATATGACCTCGATGGACATGAGCTACCATGGCAAAAGTCAGTCATGAGGCTTTTGTGTAGGGCGACCTGTAGGTCACTCTACACCTTTGTGGCCTCAACCTGATTTAGTACCTTTTTAGGCGCTTTGCAAATGTCGAATGAGAGGAGCTCCACTCGTGCGAAGACTGCAGGCACCATCTTGCTGATAAAATTGTTTTAATCACGGTTACATTTCACATTTAAGATTCTGAAATTTCTGTTTTCCTCACAACTTTTCATCGCAAGTGATTGCCTTGATTCCAGCCCTCGGTCAAATGGTGCTCAGCTGCAGGGTGTTTGTGCGCTAAAAATTTATGTATGGCCCTTGCTGTTGCGTTTGTTGCACTGTGTGTGCTGGATGGGCACTTCTGTCTGCATCGAAAGCATGGGCTGCAACCAGCTCCTTTCCTTTTGCAGACCGTCATGGCCCACAGTGACCATGTGTGGAGTGGCCACCTTTTTGAGAGTCACCAGACAAAGCTGTGGTTCTGTGGCGCATGCTCCTACAAGAGCGTCTACAAGTACCGCACAGGGCGACACGCTCTGCAACACTCGGGGGAGAAGCCCTTCATGTGCCGTGTTTGTGGAAAGTTCAAGTCCGTCGTCCGCGTGAACTTGAGAGTAAAGCAGTGGGTAGTTTACTACCTACGGCACATCAAAGGAGAGTCTTCACATACTACTCACTAACGGAGTACTGTACATCCAACATTTAAGTGACGTCATGTGATTATGTCAGTGTGTGGTTTTTTATGTGGGAGTATGTTATAGTCATTGTCTTGTCATTCAAGGCCTTTCTGCATTCCTGATGCTTTTTTTTTATAGAATTTTTCATGGCAGTCTTATATCAAAAACAGCCTAGGTCATACCACTCTATGTATGTGCCAAATACAGATTGCTTGATCATGTTGTCTTAAAACATAATTGAAAAAGTCTACTGGAGCATAAAACATGCATATATATGCGTGTAGCTTGCACTGTCTGAATGAGAGTTCAATTCTGAGTAAGAAACTCTTATTTTCGTTCAATTTGATGTTACTGGAATGTGGCCTTTGGTTAAAATACAGGCTGTCTGGAACCATGGGCAGTGAATTTCCTTCATGCCTCAGATAATAGTTGAAAAATGCACTATTCAACTCGAGCGAGTTGAGACTGTGTCACAATGTACCTGAGGAAACATGGGACACTGCCCAGAACCTGAAAATCAAACAATAGTCAGTATGCCCATGTTTCCAGACTCATGGGACACCCTGGAGAATTGTGACAGTTGCTCTTATCAGCTTGGACAGCATTTTCACCTGTTGCAATTCTCCAAGGAATCAATTTCCGTCCTTGATCTGAGGGAGACTGGGACTTATGGAGGACCCTGGAATGATTATTGGTCATTATGGGGTTTTCCCTGAATTTCTTTTCAGTTTTCACATCTGACATCTCCGTGAAGTGTTGAACATGATGAAATACGGAGTATGAATTCTTCATCAAATCTGATGAAACTGGAGTTTCTTGTTCAGAATCGATTAATCATTCCTTACCAAGCTCGACGTGTTCCAGTAAATTCCTTACCCCTTTCAACGTGTTTAGGGAGTACAAAGTGACAAAATCTTCGGGTTCTTGAGTACGATACCAACAGAGGTCCTAACATGACAGACGTGCACTTGAATCGGTGGCACGTCTTGTTGCAGACAGTTAGAGCGGATACGGACTATGTGTGGAGCGGATACACAGGAAACATGATGAAGGTTTGGTTCTGCCGAGTCTGTGGGTACCTCAATCCAGGCAAGGGCAAAGTCACACGTCACGCCTTCACGCACTCGGGAGAGCGGCCGTTCACCTGCACCGAATGCGGGAAAAGCTTCAGCCGACGAGACAGACTCATTGGTCACCAGGTGGCATTGCATTCGAACCTCAAGCACTAATATCATATACGTGGGATAGAAATTGAATTTTTGTCGTCACATCGTGGGCCTCACCGAACTTGTGGGCTGGCTGATGCCATGTCATTAATTATTTTTCTTGGTGAATTGTCACTTTTCTGTACATGTATTCTCTCTTTCCTTGGCATCATCCATTTTTGTTTGTGGGATTCCAATACAATTTGGCTTTGCAACATTCCCTGTATGTCATTTTTTTGATGTAGTCAGTTTATTTGAATCCACCTCGGAATAAAACGTTATTTAGAGTGGTAACGATTCATAACGAGGAGAGGGACGACCACGGTCTTAAAATAATTGGTACAGTAGAGACTTGGAACGTAACGTAAGTAGGTTACACCACATTTTTTTTTTTAAGGTAAAACCCTGTTTATTGTTTTGTTTACTCATCATTGTTCTTGCTGAAGACATATCATCTGAAACTGAACGCATTCATAACTCAGGTGACCCTGATATTGCCATCTTTATTAAATTTAATTGATAATGTTGCATGAGGGGTCATGCATGAAGCTCATTCTTGCTGCACGGGATCAGAATGTCTCACCTCTCCTTGGTGAGAAACTCGAGTTGAAGTTGCTTATCATACATGAGCAAAGTACTTACGAATACCTTAGCAACTAACAGTCAGAAAAAAAAACAGAACAAGTGCTTCACTGAGAATAGTGTAGTGAGAGAATTCCCACCGTATGTAATGGTATGTCCTCAGACATATGAACGAATCACTGTGTGTCTCTTGTGAAAACCTTATAGCAATGATAGCATTGTTTTTGGAGGTTTTTTTTTTAAGCTAATACAATCCTGATGATTTCAAAGACTGCTTGGTGAAATATCTGATGAAAACCGATTCATTCCTGGTTCCAAGTTCTAAGCCCGGTTCAACTTCCACGATGGAGGAGAATGAAATTTTCCGATTGAATGAAAACATAAGGATATTGCAATTTTCATCTCAGTCGCGTGTGGATGTGGCGGTTGACTATTGCACAAGCGGGTGGTGCTGTGCAATTTATCATTGCAATTTGTCATTCTCCTGCTGTGAATCCATGCTTTAATTAATTTCACAAGCGCACCTGAAACTGTACTGTCTGCAGCACTACATAGTGATTAAAGTCTCATTGCAGACAGTCAAACCTGGTAATTAGCTCAGTGGCTAAGTGGTTCAGGCTTCCGGCTTAATGCCGGGAGTCAGCCGATTGAGTTGGGTGTTGAAACGGTTGAAATGAAAAATCCGCTCTCTGGGGATTTATATGCTTGACATTGAGGGTATGCAAGTGCCGTTTTGTGTGTTACGTCCAGGAGATATCGTCAGCATTAAGAGTGATTCATTCCTGTCATGGGTCTGAACAACTTATGGGCATGCCTATTGGCCTCCTGCAGGGCTTTGAACAGTGTCCTTACCTCAGAGTCTATAATATTGGTTGCAGTGTCCGTGAAAGTCTGGGGCTGACATGAGATAATTCACCTGCACTGAATGCAGCAAAAAAAAAAATTTTTTTCTGGGTAAAGTGCAAGAAAGGCTTGTACGAATATACTTTATTATGTACCCTGACGAAAATGGTGTTTCTCCCCATCTGGAGTGTTTTTCAAGCCAGTACCATGCCCAAAAACCCAACAGAACTGCTCTGTGAATTTGCAAAATAAGCATTGTATCGCTTGCGGTGTCTTGTAGGATTCTGAAATCTGCCGATCAGCCATAAATGTGAAACCTGTGCTACAAATCTCATTCCAGACAGTTACCCCAGGTACGGACTACGTATGGAGCGGACACACAAGAGACCTGAAGAAGCTGTCGTTCTGTGGCGTCTGCGGATACCACAGTCCGTACCGGGCCACAGTGACCAGGCACGCCCTCACGCACTCGGGAGCGAAGCCGTTCGCCTGCCCGGAATGCGGCAAGGGCTTCAGCCGACGGGACAGCCTCATGTGTCACGTGGTCGCGCTGCATCCGAACCCCCTGCAGTGATGTCATATGTAAATGAGAGTTTTGGGGGCCATGTGCAGTGATGTCGTATGTAAATGAGAGTTTTCGTGGCCGTGTGCCGAAGTAAGGCGTGAAGGAATTTTTCATGTACTTGCTGATGCATTTTTGCTGGTGATTTGTAATCAGAATTTTTTTCCTTCCTGGCACATTTTCTATTCCAATGGGATCTCCAGATGCTTTTCGGAATATACAGAGACATCTGATTTGAATCATTTTTGCATTTTCTTTCTCTCCCCGAATCCTGTCTTCCCCTTCGGCAATCAAACGATATTGTGTTAATGCCTGCATTTTGCCTGGCTCCTACCATGTTGCCTGTTTTTGACATCTTCCTCATCCTGTGCATTCAGGATCACGTCACAGTTGCACAATCGAGATGAATTACATATAAAATTTTCTCAATGTTATGGACTGTCGCGGAAGACCTGCTCGATCTTCATTCGCACCCGTTCAAAGTGCGCTTTCCGAATACACCGAGTACAAATGGCGAAAAATTATTTATCCTTGCAAAAAAAAAAAGAAGCCATAATCGCCTGAACACATTGAAAGCAGCTTTTTTAATTTCGCTCATTTGTCATATCTGACCGATCCAGCTACCAGGCAATATTATCCAATTATATTATTATTATATTATCCAAGCGGAAGGGCCCTACCATCCGAATATCCATTTGGGTCGCTTATTTCGCTGTTGTGTGGGCGTGGGGAGGCGCGAGGAAGGCGAAACTCGTGATCAGCTGCTCGACTGACTCGGTCCGTTGTGCGTGGATTTACTCTGGATGTGGCGGCGTGAAGTGAAGCGCGTGCACCGTGGTAATCATCGTTGAGACGCAAGCCTTGAAATGTGTTCATTCCCCCGCCATCTTATGGGAGAAGAAGGTGGGAAAGGGTCAGTGGAATCTGCCTCTTGCTGGCCTTGTGACTCTGAGGATGGTGACCTTTCACCCTGTCCTTGTCTTCAACCTTTGTGCATTTCTTCCTAAATCCGTAGGAACCTTTTAAATATTTACTCAACTCCCGGAACTCACATTTTATTTCATAAAATCGTGTCGATGAAGAAATTTCACCGAAGGATTCGATCATCACCTCTTCAAAGCCCGAGTTTCTTCCGCAGACGATCACGCCAGACGTGAAATTCGCATGGAGCGGGCGGACGTGGTGCAGCAGGCAAATCCACTTCTGCGAGCTGTGCGGCTACAGCAGCGCGGTGAAGGCCAACACGCGCCGGCACGTCCGCGGGCACGTCGGAGACCGGCCGCACCGATGCGAAGCGTGCGGGATGGGCTTCTCCCGGAAGGACATCCTG